AGTAGCATCACACCATGACAGAATGATAGCAGGTATAATTCCCGTTAGGATCCTGCATGTCCTGTGTCTTTCTTTTTTATTCTTCCTCCTAACAGATGCCTGGCTTGTACACTTATAGTTCTTCCTCTAATACATCTCATATGGAGCTTTTGCTTCCATGAACATGACCAGAAAGCGTTTCACTGCTACGTATCCCAGAACATTCAGATTTTTGTTGTTGTATTAGGAGACTTCCCACAGTTCCCAAAGGATTTTGGAGAGGAAGCCAGTTCTGGTGGCTTAAACACCAGCCTAGAGTCTCAGTGCTATTCTCAGAACCATATAACCTAGGACAAGATACTAAGTCTTCCTGTGGCTCCATTCCTACAAACTAGAAGTCACATTAAGTCTTCCTAAAAACTAGAAATAATAATAATTCTTCCTGTCACCAGTTTTTGCTTGTTAATATGCTGTGTTCTCTGACATGTTTGGCAGTAGTGTGTAACAGAACAGAACACTAATCACTAATTGATAAGATAATAAAATTTACTGTGTGATATGAGATGAAACTATTACTTCAGTCTTTTAATTGCCATTTTATTTCTTATTTAATTAGTTTTAAAATATTTCCATGTAGAAACAGCTAGAGAAGAAAATGTTTTAATCCTCCTTGCTTCAAGCTGTGCCTCCTGAGGTAGCAGTACCCATTCCCAACATTTAAATATCTTTAGTGCCATCTTCTGTAGCGCAGCAGCATGTCAAGCACAATTCTTTTTAGTAACGTGCCATCCAGTGCCACAACAAGCCGAACTGAAGGCATTTGTAACTGGTTTTTTAAGGCTGACAGTGTGGACAGAACTGTTGTCAGCACTGCTGAGCCATGGGTCGCTTTGGCGTGGCTTGTTTATGACTGATGACATGTACCACAGCTGAGGGCTCTTTCCACTAAACTGTGCTCAGATGCACAGTTACAGTAAGAGTGACCCTCTTCTGTACTTCAATATAGATGTTTAAATTAGAAATAGCATGGGGGAAACACTGTTTTGGATCAATCCTGATCTGAAAAAGTCCATTTTTCTCATTGAGCAACAGCTCAGGTTCAGATTAAGGGCAAGATGTGTCTCCTAACTTACGAGATCTTTTTATCATTTCATAAAGCTTTGTGTCTATTTCTTATCTTCTTTCTATGTCATCATCATGGCCAGGCTTCGCGAACGAAGATTTGGGAAGGGCTCTACCCACGTTTGTTACAAGTGCGCTGGTGGCTAAAAAGGCCAATACGAGACAGACACATCCGGTTGCAAAAGGCACAGCAGAAAGACTCCTTAGGTGGTATATTCTGCTCTTTCCATGTACCTTGCCATGAAAATCTGATTCATCTAATCTTAAAAATACCTGGCTGACTGCTTTGTCTCCACACTTCTTGAATTCACTTTGTTTCTCCACCAGCCAAATCATATACTGCTAAATGTCTGTCTACAGACAGGGGTTGTCACCTGGGTGGAGGCTTGGATGCAAGACCAAAGGTGGTAGTAAAGAAAATAATTAATCCCTCTCTGCAGACATTGAAAACCCACCGGGATGTGTTCCTGTGTCATCTGCTCTAGGTGACCCTGCTTTGGCAGGGAGATTGGACTGGATGATCTTCAGAGGTCCTTTCCAACCCTAATGATTCTGTGATTCTGTGATAAAAGAAGGCTGAAAATTTTGTAAGTGTGCATTTTAATGTAAAAATTTAAATGCCACCTAAGTTTTATGCTGCTGTCTAGTGTTAATGACAATGGAGGGAACCTTTTAAACATAATGAGGGCTGGCAGTGTTGAAGATAAGTGAGGAAGCTAGCAGGATGGCTCTTCCATGGAAATCCTTCTGTCAGAAAGTCCACATAAAGAGACACTTTTTAACACCATTAACTAAATCTGAGCATAGACCCTCCTTTTCTAGTATATGACTAACAAATAGCCCTCCATACCACCTTGACATGCTTCCATGCTTGGGCTTTCAACAGTACATAATTTGTTCTTTGTTTTTAAATAAAGAATTCGCTTCCTTCAAATTTTCCCCGTGGATTTTGCATACTTGCCTATCTTATTTTTCACAAATGATCCAGAGGGTTTTGTTGACAGACCAAACCTCTTCTTGTATGATGCCAGAAGAGAATTCTTGGAAAAGAAATTGTTAGCTAATGGCTGTAGTCCCATGGTAAGCAGGCATTGCATCAGATTCTCCCCATTTGAAACATAATGGATTCTATCATAAAAACCTTCCGTGGCAGTACTGAAAGGCTGCTCTAGAACCTCATTGCTCTCCTGAGTAAGAATATCTTTCTTAAAAAAGAGGTATCAAGGCCAGTTTGTACAGATGGTGAGAAATACCACTTGAAACTTCCAGAGACTGAAAAAAGCCACCAGAGAAACACCCAGTGCTTCATGCTATTAAACATTTTGGACAGATAGTGGAAAATGAGAGATCTGTCTACCTCTCCCTAAAATAAACTTCTTGCCCTTCAACTGACTTTGTGAGCTGAGAGACTTCACGGCATGAAGGAAGTTATAATATTAGGAATTACTGGGGCTGCTGGGATTCCATCCTGTACCCCAACACAGCCTCTCATGCCCCACTGCTTCAGGATCAATACTGCAGTACTACTACACTTACAATCATGGGAGCACTGTGCTTCAGCTGTATCACCCATCTCTGAATAGTCATTGGTTCTTGTGCCACCCCTAGTGCTTAGGTCCACTGTGTCTTCAGCTGTAAGATTTATAGGGAGCAATCAAGCATTTGAAGGATACAAGAACATGGGGATGGTCTGATTCAGTTTCTCAACAGTTCGCTGTTACACACAGCTCCTCAAAGTGTGTCAAATTTTTTTGTGGATGGTATTTTTACTAAATAGAGCAACAGTGAGCCATGGGAGTGACTAAGTTTTCAGCTCTTTTGCTATAGAGTAGCTATCAACAGAAACTCATACATTACTGCTGAAGAGTTGTTGAGTTGTGCTAGTTTAAGTCATTCTATCTATCATAGAATCAAGTTGTTCTGTCTTTCATAGAATCATAGGATGGTTTGGGTTGGAAGGGACCTCAAAGATCTAGTTCCAACCTGCCCTGCCAAGGGCAGAGACACCTTCCACTAAACCAGGTTGCTCAAAGCCCCATCCAACACAGCCTTGAACACTGCCAGGAATGGGGCATCCATAGCTTCTCTGGGCAACCAGAGAAGTGTCCCACTGTACTCACTGTAAAGAATTTCTTCCTAATATCTCATCTAAACCTACCCTCTTTCAGTTTAGAGTCATTCCCCTTGTCCAGTCACTACATCCCCTTAATAAAAAGTCCCTCTCTGACTTTCTCATAGGCCCCTTCTAGGAACTGGAAGGCTGCTGTACAGTCTCCTTAGAGCCTTCTCCTCTACAGGCTGAACAGCCCCACAACTCTCTCAGCCTATCTTCATAGGAGAGGTGCTCCGGCCCTCTAATCATCTTTGCTGCGTCCTCTGGACTTGCTCCAACAGGTCCATGTCCTTCTTATGCTGGCAGCCGCAGAGCTGGATGCAGCACTCCAGGTGGGGTCTCATGAGAGCGGAATAGAGGGAGAGAATCACCTCCCACACTGCTTTTGATGCTGCCCAGAATGCAGGGTTGTTTTTCTTTCTCAGGGCAAAACTATATTTTTGAGTCCTGATGCTGACAATATCAAGAGACTCTTAAATCATCATTTTGGAAATAGTGGCAACTGATCTTTTTTTTTTTTCCAAAAGGTCTGTGCACAACAGCTTGACAGCTAATCCCAAGGTGAGGAGGGTCTGGGGTAAAGAAAAAAAATGCGCTGGCAATCTTTTTGGGTTCTTCGTGCAAGAGACGCAGGCAGTAGCAGCGAGGTTTGCCTCCTCACGAAAAAAGACCCAACTTCTTTCGGTGAAGAATCTTTTGTCGTTTAGGTTGGCTTAGTTTCCACTTTTGCTCTCAGGTCATTTTAACACCTGACGGAGGACCGTACCTTCGGCCGCCGGGGCGAGGCGCCCTCTAACACCGGTGCCGCAGCCGTCCTGTGTCCCTGGACGCCGCTCCGGGCCGGGAGCGGACGGCGGTGGGCGTGCGGGAACTGACTCCCGCTGCGCTGCCTCCGCCGCAGCTCGGCGGGGCCGGCGGACAGCCCAGTGGGGAGGGGTTTCTCACGGTTTTATCCTCTGGGAGGAATAAACTGTTTTATTTCGCAGGAAATCCCGCGGGGGTGGGATGGATCATCTGCACAGTGACAAACGTTTTAGAATCCAGGGAGAGAAGGGCGAACACGCCGGCTGCTGCGCCCGGAGCCTCCCGGGTGAGGAGAGGGGCTGCCGGCGCGGCCCGTGTGAAGCCGGCGGCTGTGCCCGCGGCGGGAGGGGAGGGAAGGAGGCGGGGAAGGCCGGGCGCCCGGTGCCAGAGGGGCAGCCCGTCAGAGGGGCAGCCGCGGCCGCGCTCCCGCCCGCCCGAGGGGCGCGTTGTCAGCCCGGGCAGCAGCAGGGAGGGAGGTGGGCACCGGCCTCCGGGCGCCTCCCGCCCCGCCCCTGCACCCAGTCCTCCTCTGCCCCCCCCCCCCCCCCCCGCTTATTCCATAGCCCCAGCAAAGTTTGGGGGCGCCTCTTCCCCCCGGTTAAACGAGTTATGCGCTATCGCTGCCTGGACTCTTCCGAACGAGTTGAGCTTTTGCTGCTTAAAGTAGTGCTCCTCCCGCGAAGCGTAAGTAGATCGACCCTGGGCTGTGCCGCTCGGCTCCCGGTGCGGACCCGCCGCACCGGAGAGCGGCTCGGCCAGCGCGGCCGCGGCTACGGGCGCACTTGGATCCTGCGCTGAGGGCGGGAGGCGGGAGCTCCCTGGGGGCTCTGCCCGCTCGCCGGGCCCCCCAGCCGTGGGCTGGGCGCCAGGGGAGGGCAGGGCGGGGCCGAGCCTGCTCATCCTGTTGAGGAAGAGCGAGAGAAGAGACCCTAGTGCTGTGTATTCCTCCTTGAGGGACCCTGGTGCGAGTGTCCCTCCGTTCCTGCCCCACCGAGGGCAGCGGCGCTCGCAGATGGGGCGGGAACTGAGCCTGGTGAGGCAGGCAGAAGTGTCCAAACCTAACGAAATACCTAAGGAGATGCGGTGGAAAGCAAAACGCCAAATATATCCGGGATTGTTGTGGCAGTTGCCCGCTAAAGGGTGCCTGTGTAGGGTCATGTAATTTCTTCCTTAAGGGTTGCCACTCACGTTTGAACATTGATGTGGATTCCAAGTCAGTTTTGTACTTGGAGTAAAGTTAAATCTTAACTATAAAGCAGAGCCAGAATTGCTTTCACCCTTGTAAGTGGTGCCACACAGAATGATGGAGTTCAGAAGTGTACTCCAAGATGGTTCTGGGGTTCCTTGAAGTGAGCTCTGAGTTATCTGGCCCATACAAACACTTTCTACTGATAGTGGGGAAAAGAGCTGGCTGGCCTCCCTGCATTGACCAGGCTTTTACCTCACTCTTCTGGTCACATCTTCAATCTGAGAATTATCCAAACATGCTGGTTACTCACTTTTTCACTTAGGACTTATGAGTGATGCAAAGTATTGAGATGAATAAATATTCTTTGGAAGATATTTATAGCTCGATTAAGTAAGAGCTTGCCAATGTTATAAGCAAAAAAAGTTGTTTAATTTGTGTCTGTTCTTTTTTTCCTGTAGGCAAAAGGAGTATTAGAAAAGTATTTGGGTTCATTGCTGACTCAATGAAGAAATCATATAAAGCTAAAATGTTATTAGGAATCCTTAGTGTGTTAGGCCTTTAAGACATAGATACATAGATGTGAAGAATGACATAGATATGAAGAATGAATTGAACTGAGTAGCCAGAGATATTAGAGCTTCCCTTTAAGGGAAATGAGAGAATTCTACTGGAGCATTTTAGACTTAAACTAGAAAGAAAATTAAATGGTTTCCATAGTACAAATGTGTACTTTAAGAAGTTTGAATGGGGTTTACAGCACCATCTCCCTTGCAGTTACTTGCCTGAAGTCCCCTCACATGGATACTTGAATGTTGGAGTACCTGCTTCTCTGCAGTGAAAAAGGCTCTTGAATCTCTGAATGCCAGAAAGGCTCATCTTTCCTTTGTATATCTGGGTAGAGGGCGGGACACTCCTTACTGTGCAGTTTTTAGATCTGTGTGGCTGATCGTATGTGGGCACCTGAGAGATCTGTCTCATTCATGCTTCATTCACGCGGGATGTAGGACTGTTGCCCTCATGCTCAACGGCTATTCCACAGTCCCCTGCTAGCTCCACACCCTCCACACCTTTCAGCTTTATTGGTAAGTCACTGTCTTTTAATTCTGATGTAGAGCTCTAAGATGGCATTTGAGTATTCTAGGGGAGAAAAGGGGTTACTTTTTTGTTTCTGTTTTTCTCCTGCAACTAGAGAATCAGAGCAGGAGTATGTTATACCAGGGAAGAGAGGAGTTTAACAGGTGGGGTGTAGCTCTCCTCCTGGGCTCAGCCCTGCGCTCCTTGCTCTTTTCCTTTACTCAGGCCAAACTTTCACTCAGAGGTCAAGTGAAGTCAAGAAGAAGTCCAAAGAAGTTTTTGTCTGGGATTTAAGGAGGAGGCTCCATAGCAGTAAAGTAAGTTTAAGATAATAACAAGATCAAATAAGGAATTAATTTTTAACAAGTGTTTAAAATACAGTGAGAGTGGTAATAGATGTGTCTGAAAGTATGACACTGTGAGGAGGAAAGAAGGTATTTTTCAAGTCCTCGTTTAAACAAGTTTATAAAATGAACTACGAAACCTCCATTGTGACTTATGAAACACTCACCATTGTATTTCATATATAGGTACATGACCAAATACCATTAGGTTTCACTGGAAATTATAGTAGCTCGTTCTGTGCCTGCATATATGCCAGTTTGTCTGGAGTGACATGGTCACACTGCAGACTTTCTGCAGGATGACTGCGTTTATCTGATTTAAATAGCAGAATTAAGAACCTGGTAGTAAAGGGAATGCCTGATTGTTTAGTGTAAAAACAAATTAAATATTGCAAGTTTTTTTAACAGCATTTTTTTCTCATACTGCTTCATAAGATTTACATAATTTTAAAGATAAAAATCTAAATCCCATAATTTTAGACTGTCATGACAAATTAAAGGAAACATGGACTGAATTTAAGAACTCATATTCAGACAAGGGCATCTGTCAGGTTTCTGAATAATTGTTAAGGGACATTTTTTAGATATACCAATGTAATAAATTATAAGTACATCAGGTTTCATAATCTGGTTATGTATGTAACACAGCCGTGCAGTTATTTATGTTTGTAATCTTTGCATATGTGTAGATAAATACATAAACATATCTATGTGTGAGAAAAATTATAAATAATTAAAATATGATATTTCACACACTTGATACGGAGTGGTGAACCCATTGGGTGACATCATTGGAAATAAAAATAACTGACAAGTTTACAGATGACACATTATAAGTATTTGCCTCCTGTAGATGGATACATATATATGGCATCACAACTTCTAAAATTTATTCTCTCTCTTGCTTGTTCTCTTTGTCACATGCACACAAACACCCTACGCAAAGTGTATTTGTGCGTGTACTGAACTAGTAATTAATAACACAACATTGATTCTTAAATGCCATGCCAATTTTTTTGAACAGTCTATTTTCCAGTATTTGTCTCAGAGGAATGATTTTCTAAGTGAACCAAACAATACAGGACTCACAGTTCTTATTAAATGACCCCAAGGTTCACGAAGTCCTTGCTTTTCATACAATTGAATTAGGTTGCTTTCTGAGACAGATTCTCTTGTCATTCTCTAGTGGACATCAAGAAATACAGATAAAGATGTTTCATTCCTTAATCTGCATTTTTTCCAAGCACAAAAAGAAAAAATGTCTCCTTTCACAATCCATATTTAAGATTAGGTCTTAACAGTTGCCTGGCTCTGGATTTCAGCAGCACTGAAAGTAACACTGTACAGCTGAAGTTTATGTAATACTACAAAAGCAAGCTTGGGATTGATCTCAAATAAAATATTGAGTTGTGGCTGTTTAAATTTAAATTTAGGTATTGTTGAACTTACTCAAATATTCTGTGAGCTCTGAGGGCCTCGTGATTTCATTTGATGTCATTTAATCATTATCTGAATTAAGGCATCCCTTTAAATTTTTGGTGTGATTTTTGGATGAGTTATGTTGGCTTTAAGAATTGCTTACTCAAGAATATATTGACGCTGAAGAAAGATAAGGGACCTGGATTTCTGGGAACCCTCCAGCCAGTGGAAATATGTAACTTTGTGACTCACTTGGAAATTATGTCTTTCCCTTATGGAGGTACTATGAGCAATACACATTTGTGGCGAAGGCAACAGTTGCTGCAATTCATACCAAGATGAACGCTGAGGTTTTTCACCTCAGTGCAGTTAAGATGCCATGAAGTATCTGCTCACAGCTTAGACACTTTGTGTACAGGATGAATTTGCACACTCTGGTACACAAATATAAATCTTTTAAATAATATAAGCATTAGAATAGCTTTTTTATGTGTATCCTTTGAGAAATGCCTTGTGTCATATCTTTGGTGTCCTGAATTATCTCGGCCTAGGCATTGTTGACCTGTAGTAGAAAGAAAAAAAAAATCTTGCATAGGATTACTGAATGGAGAATTATTAAGAATAAATTAGATGAATATATTATTTATAAATTTTAAGTTTTACCAATTGTTATTGTTCTTCTTCTACTAATCACTAGATAAATCTTCAGAAAAGCACAAAAAATCCTACTTTCATTGTAGTCATCATCACCTATGGATCTGAGTAAGAAATGCACTGCAGTGTGCCTATAAGGGGAAAAAATTGATACCTGTGTTTACCTTACAGTGCAGGGGTTATAATTTTTCATGAGAGCAGACCAACTTCATTTTTTCAAGCAACAGAAGGTAATATCGGTCTTTATAAAACACAGTGTGTGGGCTTTGTGCCATTGGACACAAGGGTAATTGCAGTCATGCTGAAAATGGGCCATAAGTAATGAATTCAAGAAAATTTAATGGGCTAACATTTTGATGGTTAATAAACCTTCTACTACAGGTATTAGCAATAAAAGAACAAAGCGTAACTTCGACTATTTATTATCTGAGCTACCTGTTTTGTTTGATCTGGATAGAAAATAAAGAGTGGGGTAGAGAGTATTGATCTGAGAGGCACAGAGTAATGCAAAGAATAGCAGAGAAAGGAAATACTGAGCTTAAGTTTATGCTAAACTACTTTAATCCACCAATATCACATTATTCATTTTGCTGTTCCTACATTTTCCCACTCAAAATGAGAACATTTCCAAACATTGGTTTAGGTCTGTTCAAAATTGGAACTAACCTGGGTATATCTTCAAATGGTTTTGAGTAAAAAACAAAAAAAATTAATTCATTATTTCCTTAAAAATTTATGCTTCTCAAGATTAAAATTCCTTAACCATCCAGAATATTGTAAACTGTATACAATTAGGAGTGAGGATTAAATTTTAAAATCATGTAAGCATATTAAGATTATAAAAATATTATAACAAAATATATTTGGTTTTGGCTACTATTTTAGGAGGAGAAAAAAATATATTCTTCAAAAAGAATTTGAATATATTTAAAAAATTGTTTAAAAAAGTGTTTGAGGACCAGGGACATTAGTACACAAAATTGGTGTTTTATTGTTAGTATCATCATTTACTGGAAATGCTGCATATTATGCTGGAAAAAGAATTCACTGATATTAAAGGGGATGTGTTTTTGCAGAATATCAAAGATGTATTTTTTAGGGGGAGTTTTTGCTGAATTAACTTTGTGGGATAAAAAATAAATTAATATTCCAGGATTTACAAAAATGAAAAATACTAATGGTTATGTTGTTGCTTTTTGTATGAAAGCATACTAGCCTGCAGTTACAGTTATTTCATTGCCTCGTAGTAAGATCAAGTTATAAAACAGTACCTCAAATAACTTTAATTCCTTTAATTGCCTTAACTAAAAGCCTGAAAGAAGTTCCGTACAGACTTTGGAAATACTTCTTCTGGAAAACCAGTGACATAATTGCTGGAAATGACACTAAATATAATGATGAGAATAATGGTAAATTCCTAGCTGTAATGATGACTGCCTTTTTTTTCTTGGGAATTGTAAGACACCTGCATGTTTGGATAAGAAGTATAAGTATAAAAATAGTAAGGTGTAATTCAGTTATAAAATATTCTGAGGGTTTTAAACAAGAGGATAATCACTTTTCTGATAGTGTTTTTTTGATATGCAAATTGTTATATCTGTATTACAATTATGATAAAAGTATTTCTGAAGGTATTGAAGTTAGCTGAAAGTAAATTTTTTTGTTTTGTTCTCAGTTGAAGGTTGACGTATAAAATATAGAAGTGAGTTTATTAGAAGAATTAAATATACTTACATGTATTCCAATATTCTTACATATATTCCCATTAGGAACAGTCAAAGGATAAGAGAAGTGATACCCACAGATAATAGCTTGTTTCTCAATTGGAGGAAGCTTGTGAGGAATCTGATATTAAAAAAAAAATCTTGTACTTTAAACCTTTCCAAATCAGGAATTGTGTCTCTGCCTAGAACTGGACATGGGAGGCCCACCATACATGAATTGGTGGAAATTGCTGAGAATATATGCTGTTGTTTTTCACTGAAGTAAGGTCATACGATGTAATTTTATTTTTTTCCAAGAAAATCTCTGTATATAGTCGCTGAAGTGACCTTGAGTTTGTTGGCTTGGGTTTTGTTTTGGTTTTCTTGTGGGTTTTTTTAATGATGTTGCAGTAGGTATGATTTAGTAACACTAACTGGCAGGACAGTAGGGAAAATGGCATAGAAACGTTTTCACGATTCCTCTCAAAATTTCTCGATTTTCCCAATATTTCAATTTATTAAAATAATTCTGTTTTTTTTTTTAGAAATAAACAATTCAAACGTGACTAGGCTTTGAGAACTTGCTTGTTGAGTTGTACACATTCCAAAATTAAACTGTAAATTCTGTAGGTTTTGAGTAATTATTTTTCTATGTTTGTACAGTTTGAAAATATTAGAGAGACTTGGGACATTACTAACTTCCTGAATGCTGGAGTGTATAAGTTCTGATAACAATAAAATTATTAAAATTAGGCAAACTTTGTATCACACTCTAATACAAGGGCAATTACATTAATAGTAGGATTACTATAATTGAACTGGTTTCCATCTGTTCTTTTCTAAATATAGGCAGGAGCAGTTGGAGCCATCTCAGACAGAGGAAACAGAGAAATAATATTTTTTAAAATATTTAAATCTTGTAGAAATTCTAACTGATGAATCCTTCTTCTCTGTTGTGCATGGGCACTTAAACCTGTATGGGCTATGTGAAAGCACTAAACATCTTGCTTCTGTGCTCATCAAAGCCCATGGTTACGTGGTCACAGGGTTATCTAGTTCTTAATGCACATCTGCAATATTCTGCAAAAGCAAGTGCACTTGAGAAATATCATTTGTCAAGGATCAATCTGTTCTGCCCCAGCATTGTGTAATTATAAGATTTTTTAACGTTGCTCTAATTGCTCTGATGTTCTTATTGTAGGTTAGAAATCTGAAACAATGGGTGACTGGAGCTTTCTGGGGAGACTATTAGAGAATGCGCAGGAGCACTCCACGGTTATTGGCAAGGTTTGGCTGACAGTACTGTTTATCTTCAGGATACTGGTGCTGGGGGCTGCTGCTGAGGAGGTCTGGGGAGACGAGCAGTCAGACTTTACATGCAACACTCAGCAACCTGGTTGTGAAAATGTTTGCTATGACAAAGCCTTCCCCATTTCTCACATCCGCTTCTGGGTCCTGCAGATCATTTTTGTCTCCACTCCAACCCTCATTTACCTGGGCCATGTCCTGCACATTGTACGCATGGAGGAGAAGAGGAAAGAGAAAGAAGAGCTGAAAAAGAAGGGAAGCGGCAAAGATGGCAACTACGCAGTAGCAGCAGCAGCATCTGGCAGTGGTGGTGGAGGAGGCAACAATAACATCAAGGATCCTATTAGCAAAAGGGGGAAGGAGAAGCTCCCAATCCGTGATGAACGTGGTAGAATCCGTATGGGGGGTGCCTTGCTCCGTACCTATGTCTTCAACATCGTATTCAAGACTCTGTTTGAGGTGGGCTTCATTGTGGGCCAGTACTTCCTGTATGGCTTTGAGCTAAAACCAGTCTACCAGTGCAGCCGCTCACCTTGTCCACACACTGTCGACTGCTTCATCTCAAGGCCCACTGAGAAGACCATCTTCATAATCTTCATGTTGGTGGTGGCCTCAGTCTCCCTGCTGCTGAACATGCTTGAGATATATCACTTGGGATGGAAGAAGCTTAAGCAGGGCATGACAAGCCAGTACATCCTTGAGATGCCCGTTGCAACAATGACACCAGTTATGGTAACAGGGGAGTCCAAACCTGTTTCCCTGCCACCACCAGCACCACCTGTGGTGGTAACAAGTGCTGCACCACCCCCTGTTCTGCCTGACACCCGCGCTGTCACACCACTGCTGGCCCCAGTCACCATGGCATCATACTATGCTACAGCTGCTCCGAGACCACGGCCCCCCTCCAACACAACCTCCATGGCAAGCTACCCTGTTGCTCCACCAGTTCCTGAGGAGAGACACCGTGCTGTGACTCCCACGCCCATCTCTACTCCTGTCACCATCCCAACCCCCATTCCCACACCCACCCCAGCCGCCATCAGCTACTTCAACAGCAGCAGCCGTGCCCTGACATCCGAGCAGAACTGGGTCAACATGGCAGTGGAGCAGCAGGGGAAGGTTTCCTCCAGCTCAGCGGGCTCCTCTACCCCGAGCAGTGTCCGGCATCACCTTCCCGAGCAGGAAGAGCCACTGGAGCAGCTACTCCCACCCCCAGCCGTGCTGCCCATTGCTGCAGCCAACAGCGGCAGCAGCACCAGCCTGAGCGGGGCGAGCGGCAGCAAGTGGGATGTGGAGGGCGAGGAGGAGCTGTCAGGGGCACGGCCCGTGTCGGCCGCCTGCACCACTGTGGAGATGCACGAGCCACCGCTGCTCGTAGACACGCGGCGCCTGAGCAGGGCCAGTAAGTCGAGCAGCTGCAGAGCCCGGTCAGATGACCTGGCCGTGTAGTGCGGTCACCCCTGCTTGGAGGGGCAGGTGGTGGAAGGCAGAGTGGGCAGGGGAGCTGTCCGGGAAGGCCAGGCCTGGCGTGGGTGAGAAGGCCTGGGCTTCAAACTTAGAAGCTTGCTGTTTTTGCACTCTGTGAGTTGTAGTGGGGAAAAATATCAACATTTTCTAATAGGTCAGGGGTGACCAAAGCACAGCCCGTGGGCCAGGGGACCAGTCCCACTTTCCTTCATGTCCATGGCAGATCTCCCAAGGGCAGCCATAGAGGAGGCCTGCACAGATAGCAGGTGGCGATGGTAGCTGGCCATGTGCCTAAAGGGTGACTTTGATCTGGGAAAAATGTTAATATCCCTAGTGCCCATGTGCCTGGCTGTCATATTCCTCTTGCCCTTGCCTTCACTTCCACTCTTTTTCACACAGGCTCTACATGAGCAGATGTGATGAATCACTTTCTTCCTCTTAAATCTTACGTAGCCCTATGGCAAACATCAGGGTGGCAAATTGTCTGTTGGCACCTGTTGTCTCTACAGACCAACTTGCCATATTAAAGGTGACTCAGTGTGTTCCATATAACATGACTTAAAGAAGCCTTTGTGCTCATTGCAAAACACCAATGTGGTCCTCGGCCAGGCAAAGTTTAGGTAACCCCTGTGATAGATTTTTGAGGTTCTTTCCATAATTTTTTTTTTCACTCTTGACCTGTTAGGAAGTGTTCAGTTTGACCTATCCAGTGTTTGCCGACCATGATCACACCATGTTTAAAAGCCCGCAAATATGTTTGAGCATGTTTGATTATAATTTTAGATGACTTCTGAAATTGCTTAGAGGAGGACAAGAATTTAAATCACACCTCAGAAATTATTACACAGAACAATTTCTCTTCAGAAAGCAAGGATTATGATTTCAATACACTGTGGCCCCATACATTGCCTGTGGACAAACAATAGGATAAAGTACAGCTCTGCATTTTAGACTACTAGATATCAGCTTAAGTTTGTTGGAAAAATGCTTTTTAGAAATAAACTTGAGTGCATATTTTTAAGTATTTGAACATTTTGAGAATAATTTTGATCTCTAAGTTTAAAGTTACTTGACTGTGTATTTAATAATTTTAGTTTGATCTTTGGTCTTACAAGAAAATGTAAGAGGAAAGAAACTTACTAATGGTAAAATTCCCAAAGCAACATTATTTCATGTTGTGTCCTACCCTTTAACATCAATCTGTAATGTCAGTGAAAACAGATTTAGATAATACTGTATTGCAGAAAAGGTGGCTAAAATATCTGGGCAACATAGTGGCTGAAGAGTCTGTTCTGATCCCACTGAAGTCACTTGCCGAATTTCTATTGAATTTTACAAGGAGCAAGATTTGGGGATGGATCTTGCAGGCCTTATTCAAGCAAAACTAACATTTACATACAGTTTTGGGAGCCAGAAGAAATGTAGATTTTGGGCTGTAGATAAAGACATTGAAGTCCTGCTTTTGAAAATTGTGTGTTTCCCTTAAAAATGGGTGAAGGAAAGTACTGGGTACTTGTTACTAAGGTGCAGCTTTCCTTACAATGGGCTCTGTCCATTATTCCTTTGTTAACAAGACATTAGTCAGAATTCTGAATGCCTGATAAGGCTCGGGAGAGTTTTGGTACAAAAGGAATGCAGAATTAGGCCCAACTTCCGTTCTAAGCAAAATCCAAAAGAACTGGAACTTGGAGTCAGTCCCGTTGCTGCTATAAATTGAAAGTACTGTAACTGGAGAACACACTGGGATAGCCCTTTGCATCTTCAAAGTATTTGGCCTGGCAGTGCAGTCCTTACTCAGGCAAAGCAGGGTCACTCTGTAGCTAGTAGTTACAATTGCCTGTTATTTCTGCTGTTGTATGTTTTCCTGAATGTGTTCATTTTATTCAACAGCTAAAATATATTCCTACTGCTCAAGATTAAACATTTTTACTGCTTTCTGAGTAGTCAAAAAAAGCTTCTCATGATCAGAAGCACTGTTCTGCAACCCTTGGTCATGTTGTCTCATGACTTCCTTGTCCTGCTTGTGGTGAATCAGGTGAGAAGAGGTCTTTCTGCTCCCATGATCTTGGGGGCAGACACTGCATTAAAAGTCAATGTGTAGTAGTACAATACAGGTATTTATTATTAGGTGTTCAGCTTCAGACATGTTCTCATGGATTTTCAGTGTTATAAGCCATAAAAACCCTTTCTGCAAGAAAGCTAAAAGCTAAATTCTGCTTTCTGTTGTACCCATGCAACTATGCTGAACTTAAACTGAAGTTGATGAAGTTGCCTAGATGTAAACAGAGGCAGAATATAAGACTCCAAATTTTTAGATTTACTAGCATCTATAGTAGCAGTTTTGTAAGTTTTGATAAATGCCAGCTATTTATATTGCTGAAAAATGCAATATGCATCTCTGTATTTTAGTTCATCAAAATTTGAAGGCTACATTTGCCTTTCTTCTATGCTTCTGAAGAATGAGGTCAAAGTCTTTCTGGAGTGTATTTATATAAATGAGACCACCTGGAATATGTGCTTTTTTATATCAGTGCCTGAGAGCAAAACTGACTTGTTGTTTGATGGGGCTCTGAATCTTGCAGTCCTTACTTTAATACAACCCTCACAGAGTGTGTCCTGCAGGATTGCATCCATATTGTATATAAAAAATAGTAACAGAGATAGATTTAACTTAGGATCAACTGATACCTAGTCTGACCTTTTCAAGTAAATGTGTGTGGTTAGACCTGGAGAGAGTTCAGGTGCTTTTGTGGAATATATGGTATTTTCAGTCCTGTGGTATATAATATAGGTATTTTCAGTCAGAGTAACTACTGGAAAGCTCTAAAAGATCATTTTTCCTGTTAGGTGAAGCTCGGGGGGAGAAATGTAAGTCTATTGCAACCCCTAAGAGAAGTCTGAGAGAGCAGCCTCTGCATCCAAGCAGTACTGGTCTAAGAAAGCAAAGCTACAACTCACAGGTTGCGCTTTTAAGATCAGCTTAAGTTCCATCACATAACTATGCAGCGTCAAGCCTCTTCATTACCTACAGTTTCATTTGGAGTCCAGTAACTGTTTCTTCATTTAAGCCCAGGTAACTGTTTTGGCAGAACTCCTCCTTGGTGCTTACAACTGCTTTTAGTTGCTGCGTCACATCCGGGTTCAGATTTGTTGAAAGAAAAGTCTTATTGGTGTGGCCAATTTTGAGCGCTCTAATCTTTACTCATGAATGAACACTGCATTCAACGTCCTGTGAGTCAAGTATAACTATGGAGAATTCCTCAGTTCTAGAAAGTATGTACAAACACTCCCTAACTTGCAGAATAGACTGTTGGTAAAAACTATCTGATAGTTTCCAAGTCATTTACTCTTTTACATCAATTAGAGTCTCATGGGAACTGGTAGAAAGTGATATTTTGATTTAGCCCGGTCATACGGCTGTTCAATCCACAATCCTGAAAGACCTTAGATGCACAGCTAAGATGAAACCTTTAGGTAAGTTATTGCAAAAGCAGAAGTCAGAACAGAATCACGCCTGATATTAAGCAAACTGAAAAAAAACTCACTCATTTTTGCTCTTTGAGTAGAATAATTGTGGGGAAACTTATTCTCTCTCTTACTTGAAGTTAAAAAATATACTGAGGTGAAGTATGGAAAAGAAAACTGAAAGAAAATACTCTTTGAACAAGTTACCAGGTGTAGTATATTTGTCATTCATCAAGGCACTCAGAGCTAATAAATGTCTGACATTTTGCAGCTCTTGAGATTATTTTCTGATATGAATACATAAGTGTAGGATCAGCGAAATAATTAAAACAAGCTTTAAAAACCAGATCAGTACTTAGGTCCTTTTTTGGTTAGTCATGGGACCACCTCCTCAGCTGCTACAAACTGTTGTATTCCACTGAGTTCACATGGGTGACAGCAGTCTGCAGAAGCAGAGCATTGAGCCCCCAGGTCTTTTTGTTTAATACAGACACTAACACCATGGATTTGAACAGGCTGGGTTTTTTTCTTTAATTCCAGATGTTTTACTTTGATTTTTCTTGTGAAAAGTGTGCTCTTGTAAGTTTGATTTTCTGAAGTTTACATTCAGTTTTTGATTTCAGATTGCACATTTGGATGAAATAAACTGCTTTCTAAGTTTACATTTGTATAATAAGTAAAAGAATGACTTTGCCAATGTGTTAAACTTAAGAGAGAAATGTCTTACTCTAACACAGGAACTCTTTAGACATAAAGTTTAACCTGATCACTGATCTATAGTATCAGCTTTCTCTATGTATTTGAAATATGGGAGTTGGATATATAGGGAGCAAAGTATGGAAAAAGATACTTTTCATCATGAACTCAATTATTACCAAATAAACTAAGGTTCATTATTGTTCATATGCCTTCCTGTGTGTTTAGAGGTTCAATGACAAAAACTAGCTGTGACATAGATCCTTTAAGAGCTAAATTTACAGCCTGGCTTAAAATTCCAAACAAAATACTTGAGGATAAACACTGCACTGTTACACTGTAGAAGATTTTACAAAAAATAAATGTTTTGCTTTCTATGCAAAAATATGGTTCTGAGCCTGCAAATACAATTTCATGCAAGTTATTTTAACTTCTGCAAATAAGACCATTAAAGGTAATGAGACTATTTGCATAAGCAAAAAATACTGATGTGAAAAAGAAATTGTAGATTTGCATTTTAGGTTTGCTGTAGATACCAATGTAGTTCTAGAAGTTTCAGTTCTTGAAGAGTTATGTGAGCATATTTTAAGGTGGAGAATATACTGCTAATCCCATTGCCACTGTTTCTCACAGTTAATGGGTTGTAAAGCATAAGAAGGCTTACTCAGAACTTTCTTGTCGCTTTCCAGATGTTTGCCTTTTACATGACAGTAAACATAACAAGTTTTCTGGGCTGTCAGGAACTTGTAGAACAATAAAACCAGCAAACAGTTAAAAGTGCTGTCTTCAACAAAGTGCCTTGTATATTAAATTCTGTAAGAAGCAAGTTGATGTAAACGTTAATTTACCTCATATGTTTACAAAATTGTGACTAAATAAACTTTTTGTACCACAGCATTGTCTCTTTTAGATTAAATTTTCATGGTTGTGTAGATGGTCTTTTAAAATACTAACACAATGGAACAGTTAGTTCCCTCCATTTATTCACTTACACTGCTGCTTTCCTTCTTTATATGAAGTGCTCACTGAATTGCATCTGTTGCAAAACTGGATGCTGAAACCTGTCTCCATGCAGAACTCCCAGTGGCTTCAGAGGAAGTTCACCATCCAGAAGAACTGTGTGATCAAGACCCACTTGAGCAAAGGGTGAAATGCTGCCTTCTGCCTTCTACCGAATACAGGTTTCACCCTTGGCTCTTATTTTGACACAGGAATCCCCGTTCATCTCGTGGTGCGGTGTTGATAGTGACTCCCATCTTTTCCCCAGTGCTGACTCACTAACTTTAATCTATCCATCTAGCTGATATGTCATGAGACTGTTAATTGAAAATGCATGAAGGATTTTAGTGAAAGGAAAATGTGTCCTTACTGGGGATAATGTGGGGTATCCACTGCATTTGAAATTTGCTGATTTGCCCTTTGTAGGAAAGTTCACAGTTATGCACACAAAAGTGTAACCCAATTTTGTACTGAAATTGTACCATGTACTAAAGGCAAGTTAGTCTAAACATTGTATAGTCCTGTGAAAAGGCCAGGTCCAGGTTTCCGAGAAGTTTTACTTTTGAAAAGCAGCAATGTGGGCAAGACTAAGTAACTCTTCCAGAAGTGTTAAGTATGAAGGCTTTGTAAAACTTTATTTTATATGCAGCACTTTTATGGACCTGGCAGGTCAGTATAGTTTCTGCCTGGTGGTACTAAGTGCTTTCCTCTCATGTGAGTACTGTCAAGCATATTTTTGGTGCCTGCTGTGCTCAGGCAATGCTCTTTCTGCTTTACATGATGTATCCATATGGTAAACCAGATTGTTCGTCATCTCTCATGACTGGCAGGGGTAAAGCAAGCTAACAGGTGTATAATATGGATAGTGCTAAGATTATGCTTTGCTGTAATAAGCTAGGAAAGAAAGTGCATGAAGCGATATGGTAATACCAGCTGTATTGCTGAAGAAAACTCACTTGCCTTTGACCAAGAGCACTTTTTGTTACAAGTGTATCTTGCGTGCTTTGTGTTTAGATGCATGTTCCACAATTTTGTCACTTGAAGAACAGTCAGAGTACTCCCAAGGGAGCTGAGAGCATCAGCTGGTGCAGACACAGCTCAGTCCTGCACTCTCCCTCCCTTGGGACACAGCCACACTGCTGTCACCTTGCATCCACTGTCTCTAAAGAATTTCTGGCTGGAGTATGAGGTAGGAATGTTGCTACTCTTGGTTTCTGAAGGTCTGTGTGATGGTGTGGGTAGCTTTTGCTGCCACATTGAGCAACGTGGCTTCATGTGAGCTTGTGGAGGAAGGCTGAAAGGTATGCCCCCCTCATCCATAGCTGTGTCATGGCACCCTGAAATTCCTGATGGTAATGAGAATAGGTGTACTGGGGGGAACCCTAACCTGCTCCAGTAAGTCTCTGAACAGTTGTGCTGAATGCCAAATTAGGAGCATTCCATGCACTCTTGTACTGCTGCTGCTGTCCCTGGGGATTTGGCACAGGAATAATCACCTGGGCTTTAGCAAGCATTTTCACTGTGACTAAAAATGGGATTTAACTGACCTCATTAGTGCTTTCCCACTCTTTAACTGGAATAGGAATGAAGGCAATACGTATTACCTCCCAAGGAAACAGATGTCAGCTAGTCAGGTCTTAATAGGTCTGACATTTTGATCACTTTTGGCAAGTGGATGTACATCAAGTCTAACTGGTTTTGTGTCTATTTTCAGCAGACAATAGAGTAAGCAGATGCTTACCCAAAATCACAAAACTGAAGAGAGAGCCTTCTCATGAAAATGGTCCAGGAAGACTGTGTTTTTGTGTCGTAGTCCAGGAAAACAGAGTGTTTGAAGAAATACACATTTTAGCACTTGCGGGTACGTGATATTAAGCCAGAATTACACGTATCATTAATTACCGTTACTGCATTAGTAGGACAGTTGGATCGCACCAGCTGTTCTTCACTGTATAAGGTTTTTTTGTTTTTAAAGAGAGTAGTAAATAGCAACAAAATGCTGTCCTTCCTGGGTAATTACTTCCTTTCCTTTTTCTTGTGGTATGCGATCTGTGTATCTTTGAGTGACTAGCTGTAGTACAGTGTCTGTCAGAACTATTTTAGTCCTTAGAAAGGGACATTCAATGTGGGCTTTTGCCATACCTTGTGTTTAAGGGTGACCCTCTGCACTTCCAGCAGTGACTACAGATGTGGTTGAGGTGCCTGGTGTCACGGAGAGCAGCAATGAGCAGACTAACACCAAGATCACAAAGAGCTGCCCAGGCTTGCTGTGTTTGCATCACGAATGTAGCCAACTCTAACCTATGTGTGGTGGGTACCTTTTGTCAGCCACATCCCTGTCATTTTAGAGATTGTCTCCTGAGGGAAAAGAAAAAAAAAAGGAATGAATATCTGCAGTTCTTTATCCTCTTTATTTATTTGTCCCATGAAAGCATGATAAAGTCTATTAAAATGTCCAGACCTTTGCATTTCTAAGTAGTATGAGACATGGCTTTTTAAAGAGTTCCTGTGCTATATAGAGGATATTTTCGAAAATACAAAGGGCTTCACAAGGTAAAACTCTCAAAAAAACAACACATTTTTCATTGGGATATATTTTTCTTGTGTTTGCAAAGTCAGTGAATTGATGGAGTAAAGTAAAATAAACGCTTATTTTCCACATGAGAATATGGATTGTATTTCTATTCTCCTTAATTAAATGAAAACTAAAAAGGGAGAGCAAACAGTTATCAACTAACATATATCTCACTTCCCTGTTTGAGAAGATTAAACTTTCTAAAGATTTTGACTTTAAGGAATGTTGTGGTCTTCTGAGCAGAGACTAAGGGATAATTATGGTTGAACTATCCTGCCTCACAGAGCAACCTACTGTTTACTTTGCATGTCTTATGTAGTGGGGTTTGCTATGTAAATTCTGCACAAAATGCAGAAGTAAGCAGCTAAGGATGTTTTACCTAAGCAAACTCATCATGTTTGGATTATAGATACTCTGAGGGGAAAGAATCTTCTTATCATTAGAGAAAAGCCTACAGCAAAGTCAGCCTGGCTGGGGTACCAGAAACACACATGGCTGATTTTCTGTCTTTTCTATATCCTGTAGTCATTTAAACTCTCTACTCAATTAAAATGATAAAGCCCAGTGCTTTGAGAGCAGAATTCTTGGCCAGGAGTCTACAAAATAATGCCCGCATTTACATTTGTGTGTGAATGTGGCTGTACTAGTGCCTGCAGTGTTTTGGGATTTTGCTGCATGGAGAAGGATGCAGTCTGCACCAGCCTCTTGCTGTGGCCTGCATGAGAATTATGTGTCTAACTTTTGGGATATATTTTCAAAAGATCTTTTTGTTGTCTTTATTGTTTAAGTCTTTATTGTTTACACAGGTGGACCCTCTTCTCAGTGTATCTGTGGCAGTAGATAGAGCAGCAAGTGTCTGCCTGTTGGCCGCCTCCATGCCATTCTCCTCACGGCAAGCAACATCACTCCTTCAGAATAAATTGGTGGCACAGGTTGCTCCTGATTCATCCAAGCTGTGTGGCTTAATTAAGGTTCAGAACTTCCTCAAGACTAGGAAGAAATTCTTGTCTTCCTGTGTAAGATAAAACCATAAAATGTACATCAACAGCTCTGGCATTGTCCATCATTTTGCGTTGCTTCCCGGCTATGGAAACTCAAATGTCTGGGGGTCTCAGCATTGTCCCTGCTTTTGTTGGCCAGGTCTGTGACATAAAAGCTCTTCATTGCAAAATGAGTGTTGACACTAAGGTCAGATGACATTCAAAATTTCTATTTCACAAGGGATCCTGGGATTTCAAATTAGAATACAATATATGTTCACATATTCTTCATGAAACAAACCCTCAGAAATTTCCTTTAAAACATTTTGGATTAGAAAAACAAAGAGATGATAATTTTGGAAGCAACATGTCATTCTGATATTTAGTTCTTTTTTTTTCTATTTTAGATTATTTTAAAATTACCTCGCAGCACATGAATGGTAGCGTGCCTCAAGCACCATCAAGCCAAACAAAGTGGAGGTGGTGGTGATGAGCTGATTTTTAAGTTCTTCCCTTTAGGCACCTAAATTCCACAAATAGTTGTGTTTTAGACACCTAGTTGTTATTTTGAATCTTATTCCTTCATCCTTGAGTTCCAAGCTTTCATACCCAGAATGCTGAAGTGCCATCTCTGTAGATGATCCAGATGGGAAAATAATTCCATTGCTGCCTGTGAGTTGCTTGCCATCCATGCATAATGGAAAAGCTTATGTATTTGCTTAGATGTTGAAATCTTTTACAGCTAAAGCCGTGACCTAACTTTCTAACAAAGTTTTGTACATCAGGAATTCCTCTTCCCTACAGCTGCTGCGGCAAGTCATGCATGACACTGAAATGTGCATTACAAGTTTTTTGGTGTATAAGAGAAGTGCAATGATCTGCATGTAATTTGGGCAGCTGTCTTTATTTTCAGCTGAAAGAATTCTCTCAGTTGCAACAACGTAAATCCAGTATAACTCCACTACACTGGGGTAACACAGATAAGACTCTCTTTGTGTTTAGATGACTGCAGTGAACAAGATCAATTGCAGAAAGAATAGTTCTTTTTTAAAGAAAGTTTAGTACATAATGGGTCAAATTAATCTCTGCTCTAAATATACTCATTTCAGTGGTGTTGCAGCAGGAAAGAATTTAGCCTGAAGCAACTTTACAATAACTCATATATAAGCATGCACAACTAAATGTATTACACTTTAAACAAACTCAGCATTGTCTGGAGCACAGTTGGTCTGCTGAACCACTGAAGTTGGGAACTAGCCATTGTGTGTTGAGTTTGTTTAGATAGTACCATTTTTGTTCAATTGGCTACATCCGCGGTATTTTAGTGACAGCAGGAATGT